TACACATCTTCACAGAGCACAGACTTACTAAGGAAAATCCCAAGACTGCAGGTTTTCCATATTATTCCATGGTCAATGGTGGTGGCGGGTCTACATCCTCAGGAAGCACAAGACTTTAATGGTCAGCAGGGGAAAGACTGTGTATAGATGATTAAATGACACCCAGGGTGGTAGTACCTAAACAGAAATAGGAAATGCACTCTAAGGTGGAGGAAGAATAAGGGCAAGGCCAAGAGTGGAGACTTCCCTGCTCAGTGACTGGTGGCGTTCCAACCAACTCACCTATAGAGATTTTCTTAGCCAGGGTGTAGGAGGAAAAAGGTCACCTCTAAAGGTCATCCTGCTAATCTTTCTATCTCTAGGTAGGAGAGACCTGGAGTCACCAGAGGGCCTCCATTATTCACTCCTCTTAGGACATGCATGACATTGAAGTCCTGGGTGATTCTTTTTCGCTTTGGCTGATGTGGCTCTTGCTCTCAAGCACAGAGTGAAGCCAGCTTAGCTATCCTGGACAGCAGACAGCATCAGGAATTCCAGTCCAAACCACACTGCTGGGTGAGGCYGGGCAGGCTAACACTGGAACAGCTTTGCCCAGGAGAGGTGCACTATATTGACAGTAAACCAACCCAATCACATTCTCTTTATGGAAAAGTAGGTGCAATGCCTTAGATGAGTGTTACATGGCTCTACTGGGAAGCAGTATAACCTTTAAGAGGTGAGGCTTATTGGGGGCCTTCCAATCCCTGGCTGCATGTCCTTAAAGGGGATACTGCAACTGTTCTGAAGCTTTCCTGTGTCTCTTTGCTTCAGGCTGACAAGAGGTGAGCAGCTTCCTCTGCCTTATGCTCCCTGCCATGACGTTCTGCCTCTTTATGGCCCAATGGCAATGGGGCCCTGCAATTATGGCCTGAAACCTCTGAAACTGTGAGACCAAGTAAACCTTCCTCCTTATAAGTTAGTGATCTCAATGACAGAAGGTCATTTCTTTCCCCCAAACTCCTTAGAGATGGAAGCCTGAGACCCAGCCTTGAGAGCCATCTGGCACAGGGGAAGGCCTGTGGAGAGGGGGTATAGGGAACAGGATTGGAATGGACTTTCTCTCCAAAGTAGCTTCTTTTTGTCCCCAGGAGAAATCTCTAGACCATTTCCAAACTTCTGATCCATACTAAACCTTGACCAGGTAGAGAGAATCCAGAAACTTCTCAGAAAGGAAAGGATGCCATGACCCTGTCTCTAGCCTAGCTATATCCCAAGTAGGGCAGATTCTCCTATTTCTTATTTCTTTTTTTTAAATATATATTTTTTAGTTGTTGATAGACCTTTATTTTACTTATATGTGGTGCTGAGAATCGAACCCAGTGCCTCACACATGCCAGGCAAGTGCACTACTGCGGAGCCATAGCCCCAGCCCCACTTTCCTATTTCTTATTATGGTTGCTGTGAAAACAAGCCTTATTTATTTATTGCAGTGCTGGGGATTAAAATTATGGCCTCACCCATGCTAGGCAAGTGCTCTACCACTGAGCTACATCTGCAGTCTGTTTTTAAGTTTTTTTATTTTATTTTGCTTTTTAAATATATTTTTAGTTGTACTTGGACACAATATCTTTATTGATTTTTATATGGTGCTGAGGATTGAACCTAGTGCCTCACATGTGTGAGGCAGGCGCTCTACCACTGAGCTACAGCCCCAGCCCCCAATTTTTTATTTTTTGAGACAGAGTTTCACTAAGTTGCCTAGGTTAGTAGCAAATTTCTAATCTTCCTGGCTCACACTCCCAAGTAACTGGGTTTCTATGTGTGCTACTGCATCTGGCTCAGAATATGTCTTGACTGGCAGTGTCAACACAATTTCACATACTTTTTAGCATTTGATCTGATCAGTACCCAAGATCCCCTTTTTTTGGGAGATAAGAAAGCAGAACTCAGAGAGGTTATCTGTGGTCTGAGGTTACAGCAGACTAAGCCACCTAGGCTTGATCCCTGGCCCCAAGCTATTCTCAAATTACACTACCCCTAAAGGGAAGGGGATTGCTCTCTAATTGGCATCCTGCCTGCACCCTTGAATTCTGAGAAAGGCTTCCTGATACCTTTCCAGCAAGTGGCAAGCTGGAGAGACTTCAAGCAAAGAAGCATTCTTCAAATCCTAGACATAAAAGAGGGGCATTCAGGGATGGCACCAGCAGCCACGATCCATCAGCCCATCTTGAATTTCCACACAGGGTTCTGAGTCCCTGCTTCTATATCCCCTGTCTGAAGCAAATCACACAATAGGGGGAACGGAGCTATCAGACTGGAGCAGTGAGTTGGAATTTAGGCTCTGTAGACCGTGTTTAGGGTCTCTGGGAACCCTCTGAAATGCCTTTCAGGACTGTGTGTATGGGGGTGCATGTGTGTAGGAAGAGTATGTATAGCTTTTCTAGGGTCTCAGGAAGATCAAGGACCCAGCCAGGTGTGGTGACGCATGCATATTCTCAGCATCTTGGGAGGCTGAGGCAGGAGGATCATAAGTTCAAGACCAGCCTCAACAACTTAGTGAGGCCATGTCTCAAAGTAAAAAATAAAAAGGGTTGGGGATACAGCTCAGTGATAAAGTGCCCCTGCGTCGAATCTCCAATTACTGCTCCCCTCCCCCGAAAAAAAAAAAAAGGAAGATCAAGGACTCAAAAGAGGTTGAGAACTACAGGTATTAAGGACCTGAGTCCCTTCCAACTCTGTGCATGCTCTGAACATACGCACGTTTGAACACCAAACACGTTATCAAACACAGGAGAACATGTTATGCAAATGGGGTGATCATCACTGTTCTGGCTGCTGTGGCTCCCTGACCCTGTTCCTCAAGATCCCAGACAGCATCCTGGAGGGACTGAGCACCCTGCACTGTGGGAACCCCATCTTTGCCTACTGTGCTAAGAACAAGTTCTCCCTGGTCTGACCCTCGAGATCCTGCACATTTTCACGTCTCTCACTGACTGATCATCCCTTTCTGAACATCAGTACCTCCAGATTAGAGGAGGAAATTGGAAATGAAATACAATTTGAGAGAAAGARCCACTTCAGTGTGCAGCACAAATTCAGCAGGACATTACTCCCGTGGGTCTCAGAGCCCTAGAAAACCCCCTCTCATTGTCATGGACATTTGGATACTGCTGGGCTCCCCTCCCACACTGCCCAGGGCCCATTTACCATTTCCTGGAAGGGTCCTGATCCCTACCTTCCAGGCAATGTGGGGCAGCCCTCTAGACCCACAGCCCTCATCCATCAGCCAGAGGTCAAGGGAGCCCCAGAAAAGAGGGGAAGTCTGATTAACCCCTACTTTCCTCCATCAGCCCTCCCAGTCCTGCCACTGAGGGTGACAGCAGACCGGTAAGACCCACATGCAGAGGAACTGCTCCCTGTCAAGGACCCTGGGAGCACTGGGGAGCCCAAATCTGCAGACTGAGTCTAGCCTCCTCCTGTGGGCCTCCAACTGGAGCTTGAGGATGTTGGCTTCACTTTGTTCTCTTAACCCCTAAGAAGGGTTTGTGGATCTCCCAAAGCACCCCTCCCAYGACCAGGGAACAGCACGTGATCAGTAAAGCCTTCTTACTGTCTAGTGTGCAAATGAGATATGCTGGTCTGGAAAATCCATTATTCTGTTTGAAATGAAAGAGTTACCATAAAGGCCTTATGTTGATTTCCAATTCAGGAGACAAAGAGAAATAGCTGCCGCTGAAGTTAAGTGGTATGGAATGTCATCTTTCTTTGATGATTCAATTTAGGGAAGGCACCTGCGGATCCAGTAGTGTCTGGGTCATCTTTCTGGATGTTGTTTGGAAAAGCAGAGGCAACGGTAGAAGCCTCATGTTTTCCCAAGTCCCCAAAACACTGTTTCCCTTTCTTTGTGCAGTGCATGCATTACACTCCAGGGTAACACTTCACCAGATATAAAAATGTGTGTGTGTGTGTGTGGGGGGGCGGGGGTTGCTACGGAATCCAGGAGAGATGTGGATCTGACTGGATCTTCCTCCCAAGAAGGCGCCCCTATAGCCTCTTTCATCAGTAATGGGAGGACCTCTCAAAGGTCACCTGAGGTTCCCCCTCTCCCATATGCATCTCTACTGGGGTCAATCTAGCAGGAATATGGGGCTTGGACATGTTTACCCCTGGAGGCCAGGTCAAGACAACCTGTCTGGCAATTCACAGGGCAGCTTTGCATTCTCCTGCCTCTTTCCCATCCACCCAAATCCATAGCATAAGCCACCCCTTTCCTCAAAAAGAAATGAGAAAGAAAAACAAGCCAAAGAGGTGACACCATCAAGCCCAGGGCAGCCCCCAAACAGAGGGAACTAGCTAGATCTGCAGAACTTTCCCTAACCAGTGAGACAGGACCAGGCTGAAGGCAGAGTCCAGCAGCCTCCTGAAGTTCCTGCTGGCCAGTACACCAAACCTAGCTCCTGTATCTACAGGCTTTAGACTTTTGGTTGACAAGCGCTCCCTGAGGACCTATCAAAGTAGGGGGAGATGAAACTCTTGAACCACAATTCAGGTAGGTAAACAACCTAGGGACCGGTATCTTATTAGCCCTAGGGCCATGCCCTTGGACTCCTCCTCAGTAGGCAGCAGGTGAGGGTCAGCAGACAATTGTGCATTCCTCGAGGACCCTTGGCAGAGGGTGATGACCAGTGGGTAGAGAGAAAGAAAAGAGCCCTGGACCAGACCAGGCACGCATCCCTGCATCCCCTCCCACTAACTATCCCTGGAGATCTGCGGAGGAAATAAGCGGAAACAAATATTGGTCCAACAGGTTCACTTCAGCGGGCCTCACCCGGCCAGCTTTCCTCTACCCTACCCTGAGGCCCCAAATTCAGCTGGAGCACCGAGGCACCTGCTGCCAGGCGGGCCCCCATCCTCGCTCAAGGGGGATCCTGGGCGGTGCCCCTCGCAGCTCCGGGCGTCCCCGGGAAGGGGCGGGGCGCTCCTGGGACCGGCTCGCCCTCCGACCCCCTCCCCGCGCTCACCTGGCGCAGGTGCTGCAGCAGCGTCCCCGCCTCCTCCCGCCGTCCCTGGCGCACCATCCGCAGCAGCTCCTGGACCATGCCGACGCGCCGGTGGTAGGGGGGCAGCCCAGCGCCGCCGCGCCCCGCCTTGTCCCCGGCGCGCAGCAGCAGCGACGCCCAGAAGTCGGGCCGTTCCCGGCGGGGGCCGGGAGCCGCGCCGGGGCTGGCCCTCTCCGCCAGGCTGCCCTTGGTCTGCCGGGTGCCCATGCCGCCGCCGCCGTTCGCTGGGACTGTTCACGCTGGGCCGCGAGGCCGCGTCCCCAGCCGACTGCCCGCCCCTCGGCTGCCCCAGCGCGCCCGCCTCCCGGACTGCAACTTTGGGGGAACTGTTGCGTGCGGGCGGCGCGGGGGCGGGGGCGGGCGGCTGCCCGCGCTCCCCTCGCTCCTCCCTCCTCGCTCCCGGGCGCGCTCCCCGGGCGCTCGCCACCAGCCCGCGGGCCCCGCCCCGGCCCGGCCCGCCCCGCCCCCGGCTTCCGCCCCCGCGCCCRGGCTACGCGCCGCCGCGCGCCTCCTCCCTGACTCGCTCTAGCTCCTTCCCGCCGCTGGGCTCCGAGCTCGGGGTGGCCGGGCGCCCCCTCCCTGCATTTCCCTCCCTGGCATTGCTCCCCCTGGCGGCCGCCGCACTGCGCCTCCCGGGGTCGTGGCGCTGTGGCGAAGGCGACGGGCAGGCGGCAGGGTCAGTTGCACAGGGTCTCCCACAGGTTTCCACGACCCCTGGCGAGGTTGAGGCCCGCGGGAGATAATGGGAGGAGGTTGGTACGCCAGCTAGATGGGGAAAGTTTGGAGCATGGGGGAGGGGGCTGCCTCTCAGCGCCAAAGTCGATTTTCTCAAAAGTGGCTCTAGTGAACAACAGCGCCAAAATCCTCCGAAGCGCAGGTCAAAAGCCTAGTCTCCCAGGCCTTGCTCCAGACCAATTGAATGAAAATCGCTGTGGGGCTTGGAGATGTGCGTTTTTAGTTAGCATCTTGGGTGATTCTGATGTATGCTCCTTAGAGGCCTGGCCTGTTTGGGGGTCGAGGGTGGTGGTGGTTGGTGTGTGAACTTGGAAACTCAGTAAACGGTTGTGTGTTTTGTGTGTGTGTGTGTGTGTGTGTGTGTGTGTGYGCGCGCGCGCGCGCGCGGGCGCTTTTATGGAGAGGCTGTATTGCTTCCATCAGACTCTCAAAGGATCTGGATTGGAAAGGTGTTAGGAATTCCCTTCTTCTCTTGTTCTTACTCTCCAGTACAACAAAGAGAGAGAGATGCTTGCAAATAGATTCACTGCTTTCTTCCCCGGCCACTTCTTCCAGACCCAACTCTAAGGAATTAGGACCCTGGGAGCTGATGGTACTTGGAAAGTCAATAATGAACCTGCCACTAAGAAGGCTAAGGTACTTCGGGATCTTCTCTGACAGACCACAGGCTACCCTGGCAGGCCTGGATGGCTACTCTGATCTCAGCTGCAAGAGGGGTTGGCAATTGTGTGACCCTTCTCTAGCCCAGACCCTAGGTGCTGCTTTAAGGTCTAAGGATAGCTGAACTGTATGGGCAGGAGAGCTAGATCTCAAATCTAGAGAACTGAACTCCATCACTTACTAAGCCCAGAGTACCAGGCAAGTCCTTGAGTCTGCCTCAAGAATTGGGAGAGTAAAATAGGTGGATCGTTTTAAAGAAAAAAAATATTATTCAATGATACTTTGTGAAGAGTGGTAAAGCAGACTTATTCATGATTGTCATCAATGGAATTTTTCAATGGGAGGGAGAGATTGGGCTCAACTTGAATACAACATGGACAAGCGGAAATTTAAAGCTAATGGAGGAGAGTGGGGGTGGGTGTCAGTGGATGAAAAATTACTAAGAGGTAAGGGGGATTCTGGCAAAACGGATCCAGCAGAATTCTTGCTGAAGATAGGCCAGGGTGGCCAGGCATCACCTGGGGGGATGGTGGAGGATGAGGAACCTGATCTGATATTGAGTGTGATTTGATATGGGGGTGGGCAGGAATCAGATATGCAGAGTTCTTGGTAAACTAACTTAGCAGTGTTTTTTGCTAAAACTGAATTTTACAAAGAAGTGCATAGATGGGCCTAAGAGAAGTTTCAGGAACTTAAGTTTGGCCAAGGAGAAAATTTTGTCAATACAAAACTTCACAGAGATGTCCAGCAAATATGAGTTAATTTTCCTACTTGGTGCATTATAATATCTTCTCCAGGAGTCTTTTTTGTTTATCCTGAGTACCTTGAGGGTGAGACCTTATATCTCCCCAGCAGACTTCTCTTCCCATTTCCAAAGATCTATTTTTTGGGTATGTCTAGTGTTGGGAGATTGAATCCAAAAGTGCGCTACCACCAAGTTATGTCCCCAGCCCTTTTCATTTTTAATTTTGAAACAAGGTCTTGCTAAGATGCCAGATTGCCCTCAAACTTGTGATCCTCCTGCCTCATCCTCCTGAGTCACTGGGATTGTGTGCATGTGCCACCACGCCTGGCTCCAAAGGTCCATTCTTGCTGGCAGAGCACACCCAGTCTTCCTACTAACTGGCTTTTTATAGAGTTTAGAGTAACAGTTTCTAAATTTACCTGTATGTAGAACATACCTGTTGGCAACAGAATCTAGTTTGGCTGGGCATGGTGGCGCATGACTGTGATCCCCGCGGCTAGGGAGCCTGAGACAGGAGGATCCTGAGTTCAAAGCCAGCCTCAGCAATGGTGAGGCACTAAGCAATTCAGTGAGACTCTGTCTCTAAATAAAATACAAAATAGGGATGTGGCTCAGTGGTCGAGTGTCCCTGAGTTCAATTTCCGGTACCAAAAAAAGAATCCAGTTTGGGAAATACTGTCTGTGTTTTATCTTGGGCTTGCTGGACACCCAGCAAAATGGCCATTAAAGAAACCTGCTAAGTCTCTCCTTAGTGATAGGGCACCATTCACCTAAAGACAGACCATATGGGCCATACAACTTGAGTTAGCAGGTTGGCCTGCTCGAGGGTGTGTGGTTGGGGCAAATGCCATCTCAATGGGGGAAGACCAGCCTTTCACCTGGAGTCTGAATGGCCTTCCTCGCCTCTCCTTCAGAATCTTGAATCCGTCCTCCTTTTCCTTGTTCTTAACCTTTTTTTTTTTTTTTGGTTGTTGTTGTTTTCCTTTTGTGTTCTCAATATATGATCACTCAAATTACATACCTCTATTCAGGAATGGGGATACATCTCAGTGGGAGAATGCTTGCTTTGTATATACACAGGGTTCTTTCGGGGTTTGATCCCCAACTGCAAAAACAAAAAACAAACAAAGAGTTTCATTTGCCCTCACTTTCCTTTTCAGCCAAGATTTCTAGAAATACCTTATGTTCATTGTTACATTTCTTTGCCTCCATTCATCTCTTCAGTTTGACTTCTGGTCATAGCACATCACTGAAATTCTTCTTGCCAGTGACCTAGTTGCTAAATCAGTGGCCACTTTCAGTCTTCATCTTACTTGGATCTTAAGAAGCATTTGCTCTTATTACCTACTCTGTTTTGATTGAAACTCTACTCCCTGGGCTTGTAGGGACCTACTCTCTTATAGATTTCCTTCCTTCTTTATTTTTGCAGTGCTGAGGGTGGAACTCAGGGCCTAGGGCATGTGAGGCAAATGCTCTACCACTACATTCCCAGTTCAGTCTCCTTTTTAAAAAAGTATTTATTTTTTTAGTTTTAGGTGGACACAATATCTTTATTTTACATGTATGTGGTGCTGAGGATTGAACCCAGTGCCTCATGCATGCTAGGCGAGCGCTCTAACACTGAGCTACAACCTCAGCCCTCAGTCTCCTTTTTGAGTTCCTGTGGAGCTCCTTTTCTTACCCTTGACCTTTATTTGTTGGTACCACATAGAGTGCTGCCTCCGACCTCTTTCTAGACAATGTTATTTATTTACTTATTTGTGCTCTGGATTGAACCCAGGGGTGCTTTACCACTGAGCTACATTCCTAGCCCTTTAAATTTTTTTATTTTGAGACAGTGTCTCGTTAAGTTGCATAGGGTCTTGCTAAGCCGCTGAGGCTGGCCTCTGACTTGTGATCCTTCTGCCTCAGCCTCCTGAGTCACTGGGATTATAGATGTGCACCACTATACCTGACTCTAGGCAATGTCATTTGTACTCATGGTTTTATCTGCCATGCACATACTGATGACTTCAAGTCTCTCTTTTCAGCTTATAAAGTAATAAATTAACCTGTTATTGATATACAGTTTTTGGCAGAAGACATAAGACAGCAGGGCCAGACAGAGATCTAGAACTTTATTGCTCAGGGCCCAGCAAGTAGTATGAGCATCAGTGTATTTGCATCAGTTCCTCTTGCCTCCAGGATCCTCAGGGGCAAAATAATGAGCCCAGACGGATGCTCCACATGATGCTGGTTTATGTTATAGCTGAGAAACACTGAGCTGGGGGATCTACTGCTTATTGCGGAAGCAGTAAGCACGTCTACTCTTTGTCATCTTTAAGGAAACTCATCCTTCAAGGTTGCTTGCTACAAAAATAACCCTGAAAAGTGGTTCAGGTAAAAAGAAGTCAGGGTCTTATATTCTTGGCCCACACAGCAAGGTGGTGCATGCCAGGGACTCATAGAAGATTGTATCTTCCAATAGTGGGCACTTCACACTCAACAAATGAGCGCATTATCTTTGGGGTCTCCTTCCTAACCTACTTTTGCCTGTCTCTGCTGCCTGTTAGGAACAGCAGGCCAGGCCAGGCACCATGGTGCATACCTGTAATCCCAGCAGCTCAGGAAGCTGAGGCAGGAGGATTTTGAGTTCAAAGCCAGCCTCAGCAACGGCAAGACACTAAGCAATTTAAGCAATTTAGTGAGACCCTGTCTCTAAATAAAATACAATATAGGGTTGGGAAAGTGGCTCAGTGGTTGAGTGCCCCTGAGTTCAATCCCTGGTACCCCCTCCCCTCTAAAAAAGGAATAGCAAGCCAGAAGCCCCAGAGAAATTGTGTGCTGTTTCAGGACTTATACCTGGTTAGTGATGCCAAGGATGGTAGTAATTATTTGCTGTGCATTCCTGTGTGCTTGGTGGTGGGCTGTGTCATTTTAATATGTTTCATTCTTTCAACAACTGTAAGTTAGGCTTTGCAATTGTCCTGATTTCTAAGGTAAGGAAATTGATTCTAAGGTTGATGACTTGCCCAAGGTCACACAAAAAGTAAAGGGTAGAGTTGGTATTCATACTTTGGTCTGTCAG